TGGTAAACAAAGTAAAGATGCAAATAGGTAAATTTGATAAAGGCAGTATCCCCCGGCCAGCCGATTACAACTAGGCTATTACTAACCAGATCCAGGTCTCATCATAGCTCGTGAGACCAATTTTGCTGAAGGCTGAAGAAATAACAAACGACAAACTGTTTGGATTATCTCGTGCTGACCCGACTGCTTCATCACCTTCAGAAGCGTCAGATAAAGCAGGTAGTCCAGAAGACACCAAATTCTCTGACACATCCTCACTCTTCGATACTTCAAACGAAGTTTCAGAACACTCTTGACAGGACACAGGCAATTCTGTACTTTGAAGAATGACGTTCAGTCTTCTTCGTTTTCGTTTACATACGTCTGCATTGCCTTTATCATGTTGCCCATTATCACCAAAGGAAATACTATCTGTCGTTTCTATCAGCTCTTCTTGCACCTCATCAGGTCCGGAAGCAAAATATGGTCCTTTTTTCGCACTAACAGCGCCCCGTCCATCTGCTATGCAAGTCTTCGATGTGGGACCTAGGGAACACGATCGTGGCTTTTGGTATTGCGAAGAAAGTTCGTGGGCCAGGAAAGCTGTCAAAAGACCGGAACAACGCGCCATTAGCCTGTACTGCTGTCGCTTGAAGAGGACACGACAATTAGTACTCTCGGAAAAGTTTTTTAAATCTGGAAAACAATGGGAATAAAAAGCATGGAGGTGGAGACCATACAAGAATAAAAAATCGCAGGTATGAAGACCAAGACGGTATGGCATAAATTTCAATCGCAGTATCCTTCGCCGTATATAATCGGCCTGACCTTATTTCTTGGAGCTGGCGTAATAGATACCTCGAATAACGTAGCACATCATGGGAGGCACGAGTATTGCGGCATCGGACCGATGATTGGGTACATTCCCAGATACATGAGGTGTATTCACCCTATTGTGTTAAAGGTGACAAGGGGACTGATAGATAAATTTTCCAACAATAATGAGAAGACCTTAAGCCTCCGTAGAATTTCACATAACCCAAAAGTTATTATCATCCAGAGTGGGCTGCAGTTTCGACCTCGCCTAGGTCTCATCAGCACCCCCAAGGGATGATCACCAAGGGATGATCATGGGCCTTGATGGCTTGGATACTTTAGTCTAATAGACTTCAGTATAAAGACCCAGATTATCACTGTTATAAATCCATTTGAAAGTAAAAGAACTTGAGATTGCGCGAATTTATTATGGAAAATCTGATCCAGATGAACTAGTGGTAGATGAGCACACATTCTCCCTAGTGATGCCGGTGGTTCTAACATGCCACAGTGGATAAATGCTTGTGTGAAGAGAAACGCAACATGGTTTACTATCGCATGCCGCTCTTCAAAGAATACAGTCAACTCCTTATCCTCTGAAGACTAACCATTCAAAAGTAATGGAGTGGTCAGAATCTGTCAGGCAGTTCCAATCCAGTGCTAGGATTCCTTTCTCCCCAATTCATAGAATAAGTCGACCATACAAGAGGGGCAGGAAAGTGAGGTGGACG